CCCCCCCCTTTCCTTGGAGTCGTATTTCGCAGTAAGCTAGCAAGAGTTTCACAAACTACAATACTTATTTACTTATTTGTTTATTTGTTTTTACTTAATTGTAAAACAAACAAGTAAATAAAAATACATATTTTAAGTAAAAATTGTAAACAAACGGATAATAAAAAAAAAAAAAAATTATTTCAAGTAAAACTTGTAAGTAACCGAGTAGACAACAGTACCTATTTCAAGTAAAAATTGTAAATAAATGAGTGAATAAAAATACTTATTTTAAGCAAAATAATATGTTCTTATTTCACAATTTACCTGTTTGTTTATTTGCTTATTAACTTATTTACTTACTACTTGTTTATCTACATACATACATGCACAAGTACCTGCTTACTTACTCGATCACTTGTTTACTCATTTATATATATATATTTACTCCGTTACCCAGTGCGGAATAATACGATTATATATGAAATTGAACTGTCACATCCTCCACTTATTATAGCTTCACTTGTTTTTGAATCTTAAAATTAACCTGGAAATGCAAATTACACGCCAGACGTAACGAGCAGCGATGAAAATTGTTTTTAGGAGCATGCAGACTCGTACATGATTAGAAGGTAATACACCCAAAAATTTAGTACTTTACTCTCCAAATTTCCAAACATATATATTTATACCTAACACACATGCGCACATGTAGAAGCGCAAACACACACAGACACCATTTATTACTATAAATTATTATTATTAGATTAATTATAGATTAGTTAACAATTTTTAGACAATTTACCAAAAATTAAAAAACCATAATCACAAACAAACAAACGTTTGCACAAACAAATAGACACACATACGCCGCACACAAACGAATACACATTAACAAACGCATACATGCAAATAAAAATACATACTTGCAAGTAAAAACGCATACGCGCACATTCGCACACGTACACACACAAGCACACACACACACATACACACACACACGCGAGCATGAGCACAAACAAATAAATAAACAGACAAACAAATAAATAAACAAACAAAAAGCAAACATACATACATATGTATATGCATATATATATGCACATATACACATACATGCACACCTACCTATAGTGTATAAATACATTACACATACAAAGACATAAACACACACAGATACACGCACACAAGACTTGGCGCTAATACGTGATCATTTGGTGCATCAAAAATGTACAGAAAATGATATGATAGAAGATTTTTCCAGTAAATTGTGGATCGACGGATATTCGATATATACGAAGCAGGCACTCATTAGTG